AAATCAGTTTTTTAAGAATATCATCAGAATATCATCAGTCATCTTAGTCAAATAAAGGGATCAACCTCGGAATATAACGGAATAAGCTGAATTTTTGTGAAAACCTTTATTTTAGCATTACAAATGTTGTCTCAAAAGTCACATATGCCAACGTGTGAGCGGCCTTAGATATTCAAGGTCAAAGGTCGCAAAAATCAGTTTTTTAAGAATATCTCGTTTTCTCTGCCTCCTATCGTATTTGCATTAATTATAAAAGTAGAGAATGAAATTTTCTACAAATTTTGTTTAAAACATTTTTTTATACGTCGAACCGTTTTTGAGATAGAGGGCGCAGAGTGTGGAGCGCTCAGCCATACAGTAGAAACCGTCAATATATGAACGTGACTCATCGGGTGCCGAACATATCTCAAACATGCTAGCAGTAATGTTTTACTTGTCTTGTACATTCGATGCAGCGGTAAATGTACTCACACGTAGGTTTTTAAGCATCCGGTCTAAAATGCGCCATCTGTGATGTAAAACTGCCTAGGTGTTGGACAAAGATGGACATATGACGCTTGTGTCCTAGCTTGTTACTTAATTTTATTGGAAGTCAGTAGAGTTCGTGTTTTAGGAATTTATTTTATTTTATTACATAGTAAGGCAACCAACTTTTTACCGTCGGCCATTTGTTTTTATATGTCATATGATCTTTGTTTTTGCATATCTTGTTTCTACTGTGTGTTTACGGATTAATAATCGTTTTAAACGTTGTAGTGGCAGTGGTTTATATTATGTAACACAGGTAGATGTCGTATAAAAATCCTTACCTAGAAATTCTAGGCTAGAATACAAAAATATTTTTATTATACATATAAATTTTGTACTAGTATTAGTTTAATACATTCTGAAGAAGCTACTGTGTAGCGAAACAATTGTCAATATTTAATAAATTTCGTGAAACTAACGCAAGTTGTTTTTATATCCACACAATTTAAATATCTTTCACTTTGTACCTGACCTGCGTAAACATTTTTGTTTTTTGTCACCAATTCTGAAATATTTGCGTTTACAGTTAAAAGAATAGTATATTCTGTAACAAGTTTGACGGTTTCACGAGAGGGGAATATGCAATTCCAAACGTGTTTCAGACTATACTAAGAATTTAATTGGAAGAAAGTGAGGTTGGGTCGGTCTAAAAATTTGTTATTAAAATCAGAGATGTCGCCACGAGTGTACGTTCTGTAATCAGATGATAGAATATTTCATTAAAGTTAAAACAAAAGTTTATTTATTAATTAGTTTCTAAGAAAATTACATTTTATTTAATTATCGTAGATGTTAATTATGTTAGATGTTAATTATTTAACTTTAAAAGCAAATATATCATAAGTATAGCAACCAACATTACACTCAAATTTTTTTACAAACGGGACTACACTGGACCGTGACCTTCGATAGATTGCTTCGTACGAATGTGTCGGATGAGTCACGTTCATATATTGGTGGTTTCTAGTTTACGTACCTTTAGCGCAAGGTAAATCGTGAATCCCAATCTATTATACCGTTTTTTTAATTAATTATTTATTAAATATTACTAAAATAAAAATTTAATACCTTGTACTTATATTTATATTTCTTTTAAATCAAATATATTTTATCTTCATATATATCTTATATTTTAATTTAATTTTAATGAAGGATAATTGAATTGGAGTAGGAAAAAATGTTTTTATTTATATCAATATTATTATTATTATTAATCTTTATCTTTTTCATCCTCGTCTTCTTCAGGTTGGCCAGCAATTTCAGACTCATTCTCATCATCACTCTCCTCGTTATCATTGACATTAATTGTCATATCTTCAAAAACTTACTTATAACGCGTTTGTACTTTGCAGATTTTTTTGCCTTTGTTGCCTTATCTGCGACTTCACCACAAAATAAGCACAATATTTTAAAATCAAACACATCATTCCCTTTTTTACGAGGTACAGTTGATGACTTTGAAGGTCCAGTCTCTTCAAGGCGACGTTTTGCTGCTGCAATTTTACTATAGTACGCCAAAGATAATTATCTTTGTAGTACGCTATAGCGTAAAATTTTCGACACTCAATATGAACGTTCACAGAATTCAACGTATTTAGGTAGTTTATGTTTATTTCTCTCAATAATTGCTTCTTTTAAAGTCTTTATAGCGCGCACAAAAGTCACAGAATCACCTTCAGAAAGTAACTTATTACAAATAAAACACAAATCAGCCATGTTAACCTTTAAAATATTACGAATATTACCTGTCACAACCCTAGACCTATACCTAGGATCACAACTTGCTTCAAAATTTAATATACGTATACCTAATAGAGATGGGTAATTCAATCATTTATTAGTGATCGAATCGATCGGTGATTGATTTCTGAATTGATCGAATCTTTTGAATCTTTCATTCAATCAATCATTTTCCTAAGCGTGCTTACCTATCTGTCGCCACTATTGGCGCATCAGTCGATATTTTGATTCGGTGGCTCCCATCTTACATTGTATTATTGAACGAACGATTCGGTCGTAGTGATTGGAACGAATGGAATGAGCTGTGTCGTATCAGCTGTGAATTTTAGTTTAATAGTATCTTTTGCAATCGATCGATCAAACCAATTATACGTTTCATTTATATGAATTGATTTCGGCTTTACTAAATTAGGGATTCGATCATTGCGAGCGAGCGAACGGGATTCGATCGTTCAATATTCGATCATAATGATTGAATCATTCACGATTGACACATCTCTAATACCTAACCTTTTTATTTATAGCAAGCCCACTATAGTATTTCCAGGTCTGTTATTTTAAAAGCAATATCTGGATCCAAGACATGTCCAGAGACATATTTAAGGCAAATTCATTTAATGTCTTTTCTTCTTAAAATGCATTTATCATTAATTAGATTAACATTAGAATATATTTAGAATGATTCACTTCTTTATTTAATTATTTGTATCTCAAAAGTAAGTAATATTTAATGACTATTTGTTTTAAAAAAATGTATAAAAATAAATATAAGGTATTAAATTGTTATTTAAGTAATATTTAATAAATAATTAATTAAAAAAACGGTATAATAGATTGGGATTCATGATTTACCTTGCGCAAAAGGTACGTATGGCTGAGCGCTCCACACTCTGCGCCCTCTATCTCAAAAACGATTGGACGTATAAAAAAATGTTTTAAACAAGATTTGTAGAGAATTTTATTCTCTACAACTTGTATAATAAATGCAAATACGATAGGAGGCAGAGAAAAGGAGATATTCTCAAAAAATTGATTTTTGCGACCTTTGACCTTGAATATCTAAGGTCGCTCAGACGTTGGCATATGTGACTTTTGAGACAACATTTGCAATGCTAAAATAAAGGTTTGTACAAAAATTCAGCTTATTCCGTTAGATTCCGAGGTGAAATGCTTATATGACTGGACTATATTGGTTACATAAAATGTGCAATTCATTAGACTACTGAACAATTGACATATGTCACTTGTTACATGTCGAAATCGTGATTGAAAATACCGTTGCGTTATTTTACCGGTTTTTTTTCAATTTGTCGCAGATTTATTTATAAATTAAATATAAATAATTATATTTGCATTGATTATAGTATATAGTGCAATGAAGCTAATAAAAAACCATGGACTCACTCGGATAATCGCGAGTGAATTTGTTTGTTTTGTCTTAAAAAATTGAAAAAATGTCTAAAATATGTGGAAAGATTCTGGAAAAAGTTCAAAGCATACTACTAAACACGCTTTTTTTCTTTTTTAATGGGTTTATTTTTAGTACTTTTAAAAAATTATATCCAATTATTTCAAATTAAAAAAATTAGGCAAATTTAACGTGTTTCTATAAATTTCTTGTTTAGCTGCTTTATATAATAAAATTTCACAACCTTTGCATACAACTTTTGGTAATCGTTCATCTTCTACATCATCAATTTGTTGGATGCCACTTTGTTAATAATTTATTAATATACCTAAAGGTATATAATTAATATATTAGTTATATTTAGGAAGTCATACTTAATATTAAATACTATTAAGTCAGTTATTTTGTACATAATGTTATATTATTATGGTCAACGTGTGATTTGGAATTTTTTGACTGCTTTATGACTAAGTTTGAATGTCTTTTATGTCCATTTATTAAAAAAAATGTTCCATCATATCAATTTTATATTAGGAAAATATTTAATAGGCTACTTGCAGTTTTTTAATATAAGCAAGTCAATCAACCCCCAATGTCTCGAAAACCGCTTGTCCGATCTACGCCAACTTAAGCAAAAAAAACTTATGTAATTTTGAGGGGAACCTTAATTTTTTCTGTTATTTTATGGCATTTGAGAACACGGCCAACTATAATAAAAAGATTTGTTGCCATTGGCAGATAGGCATACTAGTTTATGTGATATTTCAAACAAAAGATAATTTTATTTCCTACTTCTTGGTGTCATTAAAAATAATCAATTTGTTTTTAAAATCATGTAAAAAACATTTTTCAAAACTTCAAATACTATGTATTACGGACTTTTTGTGCATCTAATAAAACATTGCACTGAATAAAACATGAAAAATTATTGATTTAACTTAAAAGGCATTTTTTATTGACAACAAGAAATATAAATATTTGCCATAAGTTAACCAATTGTGGAATTAATGCTTCTTGTCTAAACTAAGAAAACTTTTTTGCTCACGTCAATCAGGCAAGCGGTTTTTAAGATATTGAAGGTTGCAAGTTCAAAAATAGGCATAGAGATTTTAAAAACAAATTGTTAAGGGGTCGACCGGTCATATTAGTAATAAAAAAAAAAAGTTTAAAGTTGCACAAACGTATGTTAATGAATATTAATTAATAAAATAGATAAAATTTAAACAGTTTTTTAATGTCATAATTCAAAATACAAATTTGGTACAATTTGTATAATATTTAAAAGTTAAAATAAAATAATATTGGAAATAAAAGTTAAGAAATTTTAGTCGACGGGTTGCAAACGGCAAGCATTAAAAAGAAAAGTTTTCACGCGCACCCAGCTAACGTCTTTAAACTTGTTTTTATATTTGTTCAAAAATTCTTCACATTCATTCTTTCGCAGTGCGTTTTTCTTTTTTATTTGTTGTTTAAAATAGACTTGCATAATTTGTTTTTGTTCATTATTCCATCGTTGCCTAGAACCTAAAAAATAGATTATGTTAAAAATAAATTTTCTTTTATGGAATTTTTTACCTTTTTTTTGAGAGCAACTATTTCCAGACCGTTTGTTTGACGACTTTGAGGTATCAATTGTATTTTTATTTTCTTCAACAATGTTTACATCATTGTTGTCATTTTGAGCTATGCCTGCAATACATATAAAAAAGTTGATATTATTGCTCAAGTTACATAATATTACCCAAAACAATATTTCCATCTGATTCAGCTTCAAGTTCATTAAATTCATCTTCTTCAACATTTTCCATGTCTATGTCAATTTCTTCCAAGCATTTATTTTTAAATTCAGCTGCGTTTCCTTTTTCCATGAGCTGAAGAATTTTGGAGACTTTTGCTACTTGGTATATATCTTGAGGAAGCCTATAATATTCATATTATTAAAAGTTACTTTTGTTTTTTGCATAAATGTTGTTAATATAGGTAAGAAAAAATCATTGGTTAAGTCAAAATTGATTATAAACTAGACAGAGCTTATCTATACTTGACCAATAAAAAAAAACAGATAAATCTAAGTTAATACATTTCAATTTTTAGATTTAATAGTATTTTTAATATAACTTAAGTATAATGGATTTATCTGGTTTTTCTGATATCTTTACATTTATTGTATAGTAGACATGCATACTTGTAGAAATTTTCGTGGGTTTTGGAAGTATGACCCATAAACTTGGCCAGTTGATCAATTTCATTAGTTTTTAAGCTAAGAATTTGAGTCACGGTGGCAATGTGTTTTCTTAAACGACAAGATGTTAACAACTCTGGATTTTTTGCCCCACATTGTTTGGCGTACTTTCTCATCACAGCACAACCATCTATCCATCTGGTTGATTTTGGATAAGAAAAGAAGTAGTTGTATCCAAAAACCATGTAGTGCTTTTTCTTATTTGGTGTAAAAGGGTAAAAAATTTGTGAATAGTTCTCGGTATTAGAACCGTTACTGGCCTACTTCCTTTTCCAATTGATACTATTTTTTGATAATGTTTGGTCAATATTTTTTCATTTTCCGAAAGAGAACTGACCATTTCACTTTGCACCGTTGTCTCAGATCTATTGATTTGTTCGTCATATGAAGTTATATCTAAATACTGGATGTCGCCGACTCTTTTTCTATTGTGCAAAATTGTAAGAATCAAAGTGGTTTCGACCAAGGTCCGATAAGAGTCCATCAACTTAGATGACTTCAATTTGTTATAAGACTCCTCAGCGCAATTTTCTACAAATTTTTTTAGATTCATAATATCTTCCGTTATAGGAAGTAATTTAGGTTTAACTGCGGCTTTCTCATTTAAGTCTTTTAAAGCTAAGCTGCCAACTTCTGTTGTCCATTGTGAGTCAACTATACCCTTGAATCTTTCCAAATCCTTTAAGCAAGTTTCAACATTTGTAATAGGCAAAGGTATCTTTTTTCTTAAAATGAGTTTCGTTGCTAAATCCGAAAGTTTTTTTAATGTAGTTCCAAAATGTAGAGCTAATGAAGCGGCACCAAAAGTTCTGTTTTCTATGTCATATCTCGAAATTTTTTTAGTTGCTTTTATTGCATTGTCAAAGTTTTCTGGTTTTAAAGTTGAAAGCATGTCCTTAAAAGAACCAAGCTTTCTAATTTCAATCAAAAATTTTGCGCACTCACGTAATTTATTAGAGATATAATATAAGCTGCGATTATTCTTAGTTTTTTTAAGTAAATCTTCTCCCCACATAATAAGAAGAATATCATTGATTGCAACCGTGGTAACAGCATCGGCTTGCATTTTGCTGAATATTGCAGTCTTAACTTCCAATTTATTTAAAGTTTCTCCAATTTTTTTCTTTGAAACAGAATAAATTAGAGATTCAGATAGAACGTTGCAATTTGTCGAAGAAGTAGCATTAGGCTTCTTTGCAAAACAATTTTTCATATGACGACTGAGGCATAGGCGCTTAAAGTACGCTGAGCAATGTTTACAAATTGCGTAATCACTTTCATTTACATGTTTTGAAGCTTGCAGCTTCTTTGGTATTATATGCCCTTTTAGCGCAACATCTAAATTTCCCACGTTTCTCACTAAAGCAAGAAGTCTTTTTCTTTCTAGACTTCCTGCCTTATGCAAAAATATTTCCCTTACTTCTTTTAGGTCTACATGATTCCGTTCAAGGTGTCTTGCAAAATGTTTAGACACAACAGTACTGTCACAGAACTGGCAGATAGTTTTTTTATACTTATTTTCTAAGAGAAATGGCGATTGGAAGGGGTCTGAAACCTGAAAAAAAATTGTTGTAGCAGATACATATTTGCATAATATAATTAACTTTTAACGAAAGTACCTGGTTGGCAATAGACTTGTTAGACTTTATTTCTTTCTTCTCGGTTTGAGTATCGTTCTTATTGTTTTGTGTCACCCTTTGAAGTGTGATATCACTATGTATGATTATTTGTTTCTTTTTTGAAAAAGCATCGTTTAATCTCTTAAGACTAACATTCCAATTACCGGGCTTTAATAACAAAAAGTTACAAATTAGAACCAAAACATGTAAAAGCAGAATAAAGACGTACCGGATTACTAAAACTATTTTGAAATTCAAATTTTTGAGGTGTAAAGTTTTGTGGAATTTCTGCAAGATACATACACCTTGGAATTTCTGTACCTTTAATAACGTCATTAATCTACAATTAATAAAGAATAAATTACAAATAAAGCCAATTTTGAACTATATTTCAAATTTAGGCAAACACGTTTAGACAACTTTTTGTTTATATTTTTTTATCGTGTACTTTTAACTTCTTGTTAGTTTATTCAAATGACAGATGATAGATGTCATTCAAAAAAAATTAAATAAAAATGAATGAATTACAGGGCATAGGTCCTAGCAATATCAAATAACAAACAAAAGTAAGTCATAACTGGAGTTAATAAATTATTTAATTAAAAACAATTTAGTTATTTAACAACCATAGGTCCGAGATAAAATTATGCAACCCTATCGCAAATTACTACTTTAATTGGTATATTTAAGACAAAAAAATAATTTATGTTAAAGGTGAGGGTATAAGTTCGTTATGCCGAATCTTAGACTTTACATTAAACCGGTTAAAAAAATCGACTATATATTTTTTTCAAAACTTCTACTCAAATACTTTCAGAGGGATGCAAAAAGACGCCGTAGTTTGAAAAAAATATATATCGATTTTTTTGAACCGGTCTATTTTACATGTACCTAACTTTTTTAAGTACATTTATGGAAATTTCTTTAATTGTTATAGAACATGACTTACTAAACTTAAAAAAATATACTTACATGTACCACTATTGGAGGCATCAAATTGATTATTTCACTTGAAGGCGATTCCTATTAAATATTTTTTATACAAATACCATTTATTAAACCTATTTTTAAGTAATTGTCAAGTGCGTGTTTTATACTTACTAAGATTTGTGAGCTGCAAACTTCTTTTTCTATATTAGGACTATTTGCACAAATGGAATTATACAACTTAGTGTCTTCCACTTCTGAAGGAATGTTTTCGCTACCACTGTCTGTAAAAATTGAAGATTCCTCATTTGAAGGCAAATATTCACTGCCACTGTCTGCAAAAATTGACGGTTCCTTGTTTTCGTCATCACTAAATAACTCGTCATATGAATTATCAGCTAAAATTATATAAATAAAATAGACATAAAAAAATCTTTTTCTATTTAACTTCATACACTATTTACGTAATATTTTTTACATTTATTTTATTTTATACATTTATGCATTAGCATATGTTTAATTTCTTGTGAGTATTTATCGGTTTAATATTAAATTTACATACTTTAAAGAAACATTATTTTATGCCATTTGAGTTTAAACATGATTTTGGGCATATGGGCACCGTGGCTGGCTCTTAAATGGGCCGAAAACAAGATTGATCTTCATTTTCAACACAAAATTTTGTTTAGCGATGAGGCCTATTTTTGAATAAATGGCTACGTACTCTCTTAAAATGAATTAGTCAAAAATAACTAATTATAAGTCATATTTGACTAATTGTCATAGCGAAAAAGCAGTCACTAATAATTAGTCAAATTCCACTGAATGATATAGTTAAATTAGTAAATTTAAATTAAAAAAAAAATTTGACCCAGCCTGGGATTGAACTTACGTCTGTCACTTGAGAAGCTTGTCAACCTAACCTCATAACCAGTCGGCTGTCAGCCGCTCTTATAAAAATAAATTTTATTTGTCAATAAATATTGTTCATAATATTTTAAAGTTTAATATATTATTTGTGTTACTGTTTTGACCTAAACTTTTTGCATCTTTATTTGTTTTATGGGTCATTTAACCATGGAGAGGTATATGCATTTAATTCAAATAATACTTTATTGTTGGCAGTAAACGATTAAAGAAATTAGTTACTTTTAACTGTCAGAAATAGTCAAATATAGTGACTAATCTTAAATTAGTCAAAATAACTATTTAAAAGTGAAAACGACTATTTTATTAGTAAAAAATGCTAGTACTAATTCAAATAGTAGAATTTTGACTATTTCATTTTTAGAGAGTAAACAAAATTGCCCGATTTGGAGTAAAAACAATTCAGAATCCATTATTGAGATGCCGTTACGTCCACAAAAAGTCACTGTTTGGTTTTAACAGCATGACAAAGTAAGCGACGCAATCATTTTACTGCAGGAAACTTTCGATGAGCGCATAATTTCTTTTAATTATTTACTTAATGCACGGCTTTAAAATGACGTACCAATATGCCAAATTTTGAATCAATTTGTTTAAAAATAATATACTTAACCTAACTAAATTACTTACATTTTTTAATTGCCAGTTCCACCATTCTTTTCGTTCTGTCACTCATTGCAAACACTTTTTTTAAAATAGGCCACTTTTAATTTAAGTTTGATGATTTCAAACTATCTTTTTTAAATCTAATGTACCTATCTACATTTTAACGGAACAATCCCGAATATTTCTTAGCAGTGTTGTCAGATTTCGGGTGCCACTTTGTGCACTAGTTATCGTGGTGCCACTTTGTCAACATTTAAATATTTTTAATTTGCGTATAAAACACAAGCGCCCTCTGGTGTAAAACCATATCAACTATTTCAATATAACCGTATATAAAAATTGTAAAAGTGGCACCCAACAAATAATTGGCCAAAGAGTTGCTGATAACGCCCTCTACTGAGGGAATTTTTTTAAGGCAAAAACAAAGTGGCACCCGAAGGTGGGTGTCACTTTGTAAAATTGGGTGCCACTTTTACAATAATTATGCAATTTGGGTGCCAGAATGACAAAACATATATATATATATATATATATAAATAATTATATTTGCATTGATTATAGTATATAGTGCAATGAAGCTAATAAAAAACCATGGACTCACTCGGATAATCGCGAGTGAATTTTTTGTTTTGTCTTAAAAAATTGAAAAAATGTCTAAAATATGTGGAAAGATTGTGGAAAAAGTTCAAAGCATACTACTAAACACGCTTTTTTTCTTTTTTTAATGGGTTTATTTTTAGTACTTTTAAAAAATTATATCCAATTATTTCAAATTAAAAAAATTAGGCAAATTTAACGTGTTTCTATAAATTTCTTGTTTAGCTGCTTTATATAATAAAATTTCACAACCTTTGCATACAACTTTTGGTAATCGTTCATCTTCTACATCATATACTAATATGCTCTGAACTTTTTCCAGAATCTTTCCACATATTTTAGACATTTTTTCTTTTTTTTAAGACAAAACAAACAAATTCTCTCGCGACTATCCGAGTTAGTCCATGCATGGTTTTTTATTAGCTTCATTGCACTATACACTATAATCAATGCAAATATAATTATTTATATCTAATTTATAAATAAATCTGCGAAAAATTGAAAAAAAACGGTAAAATAACGGTATTTTCAATCACGATTTCGACATGTGACATGTGACAAGTGACATGTCAATAGTTCACTAGTCTAATGAATTGCACATTTACAAATACATTAAAAGCTGTTAGTCATTATTTTGAGTTCACTAATTAAAAATCACAAAATATTTATTAAAAATCATTAATGTTTTTATAAAAATTGATTTTTCTAAAAAAGTGCCAAGCGAATTGAGTTTATCCTGAAAAAAAATTGTCTTGTTAGTGATTTTTTATCAAAATATGAAAAAAAAATCGGATACGTCTGATCCTTTCAATTAAAAGTTATTCAGGGACACCGTGTATTACTCATAACCCAAGTAGCACAAACGCGCTGAAAATTGTCATATACCTTACTATATAACAATTTTTAATATAACACTTTTATTTTAAAAATAACTGGTAACCTTTAATATGGCGCTTATAAACATGGAAAAGGCGCAAGTTTATAAAACAATTGTATCCGATAGACGTTATATAATGATTGCCCATGATAATTATATAACAATATTTAGCATTTTATAAAAACTTTACATAACAGTTTTTTAATAGAGCTGTAAGTGAGGTCCCGGATGATCCTAAACAACATTTTTGTGTTCTTTGACAATACTATAAAAATATTTTATAAGTATCGTTTCAAAAGGTTATTAGTGGTAAAACACCATTACAGAATACTTATAAAATAATTTTATAGCAGCATTAAAAACGTTTTATTTAAAAACAATCTGTGTTGCATAGGACTTTAACAACTTAGCGATGACATTTTGATTTTGTAAGAATCACGAAAAACATTATTTTTATTTTTAAACGATAATAATGGCGACAAAAATGATTTGTTAAATGCTCTCATGATGCTCTCCTAAATTATTTGGTTGATGGCGGCTTGATGAATTTCACAGGCTTTGGATAGTATATAATAACTTCATGAACAATATTAACGGCTCTGATTGTAAAATACTCTTACCACGTCAACTTTACTGACATTATACATATATATTTGTGGTTAAATTTTAAAGCGCTTCCAATTTTGCTCATATTTACCAAATTAAAAAAAAATATTATTATTTTTTTATTTTTTTTTTGTTTCTAATAAAATTAAAAAAATATTGCATTGCGTTTTGTTGCACTCTAAATGCCAAATCCGATGTTACAATCGAAACTTTCAATAGACTTTATCGATATTAATGTAATTTTTCGTATTTATGACAATATGGTGCCTCAAAGTTCAAAGTTCATTTTGATTTGAACAATGAAAAACATGGCGATTTGAATTAAATCATTTTTATCCCTTACGACATACCTATAAAATTAAACTGTGTTTGAAATTAGTTTTATAAGACAATTCTGATATATAATGTATCTATATAAAAGTCGTCGCGAAAACAAAATTGTTTCTCCTATTTTAGCAGCTACAATGTTGTCAAAATGTCAAATATTTTTTTAATGTTCTAGATACCTACGAAATTATATTTTGTATAGATATTATTGCCTTTTTGTTTGTATAATCATTTTTTTCGAGAAATTTAGAATCCATCAATCCCTGTAGAGTTTATAATCGTTATTGTTAGCAGGGATGTGTCGTAGAATATCGAATACATTTTACCAAGTTTAACTGCTAATAGCATCATCAAGAGACGAGTAATGAGTTTTAATCAATTTATGCGAATATTGTGTACGTCTCACTCATATATTTAAAACATATTAAATATATGGTCTCACTGCATGCTACCTACAATCAATCCAACAGAAATTATGGTAACTTCGGCAATACCGCTTCTCCAGCAAACACGTTTAAGATTCCAGGTTCCCATTTTTTAATATAGTGGCAGCAATATTGTTTTTTAAAACTCACTACAATTACCTTAAATAACACTTTTGTTATAAAGTACTTGTTAGGATAATGCTATTCGATAATTTTGTCTAAGTTCATGTAAATCTGTTATTTAATGAGGTTTTGGTGATCACCACAGGTGTTTATTACGTTTACGGTTATTTTTGTCAGTGCTATTTTAAAAATAGTATTTTTCAAACGACTATGCATGAATGACAGAATTCCTAATCTTCTTCCAAAAGATCCAAGAACATTATTAAAAACTGCTAACGTACACTAGATTTTAAACACATATATGTGTTTAAAATCTAGTGTACGTTAGCAGTTTTTAATAATGTTCTTGGATCTTTTGGAAGAAGATTAGGAATTCTGTCATTCAAAATACCAAAAAGCTCCCTTAATGCAAAATGACTAATATTACAGGAAGTAGCCCATAGTCGGATGCGCTGATTCACCTTAATATTTTTACTGATTTCGGACAGCTCTGTGGTATCTTCTTCGTCACTTGAATCTACAAGTTCTACATTGGCACTTCTTTTATCATAAGTTCCAAGCTCTAGTTGCAAGCCATGGCTTTCAGAAGAACTTGAATTTACATTTTGATGTTCCAAATCTGTGCTAATAGATTCCAACTTAGCAGTAGATGATGATGTCACAACTATTTGATTATCTGTATCTTTAGATAAATTTATAATTCGTTAATAGCTATCTTTCACTCTTTTTCTGAAATTACTACTACGTTTAAGCTTTTTCCAATTAGAAATTTGACTACTCGACATTTTATAGCTTTGCAGTAGACTGATGAATTCTGAATTAGCATAATAGTTAGGTTAGTATTAATGAAGCTATATAGGAATATCGCATAAGATAAAATTGCGATTTTAAAGCGCTTTTTATTTTATTAGCTACTTTTAATTATTTTATATAAGCGTCATTAAATATAATAATAAAATACTTTTATTAAAGTGGTTTTGAACGCAAAAATGTCACAATTTGCAAATTGTTTTAAAATTAAATCTCCAAAACAGCTATAAAATCTTGTTATAAAGCTCTTACAAAAAATAAAATTTTATTTTTGTTATGGTATCCTGCACCCCCAATAAAATCATTTTAAAACAATTATAAAATAAATTTAGCTCAAGCGTAAATAGATTTATAACTATTGATTTATAACCATGTATAACACATTTGATTCGAAGCCTTTAAAAATGTTTTATTAATCAGTCTTAACAACAACTATAAAACACTTTAATAAAATATATCAGTTTCAAAAGCATATTGGTCACCTTGGCGAGCTTTATTCGACTATTCGCTCTTAAAATAAGTAACAATAAAGCAAATATATAACTATTTAGTCGAATAACAAAATTTATGTGCTACTTGGGAATGGTTTATAATGTGAAAAATTGCATTTTGTTTTGGTTCATAAAGTCGAAAATCGCGTTTTGTTTGTTGTACAGTACTTTCAATAGTTTAATGTAGGTACATAATAAGTAAATCGGTTTTTTGTAATTTTTAGATGTCCATGCCCATGCTCATGACGCCAAGTTTAAAAACTTAGCCAAAGATTAGTTTTATATAGGGACTGTATTTACGTATTTATATATAAATACAATACTACAATATTTGGCAATTACTTTATATATAAAGTAATTGCCAAATATTGTAGTATTGTAGTTTTTTGTAACGTAAAACTTACAATGGACTGTATTTTTATATAAATAATAATTTTATTTGTTTTATATAATAGTTATTTATGTCATTAGGTTAAGAAGTAAGGCTTTTTGTGCGAAGTACAAAAAGCCTTACTTCTTAACCTAATGACATACAACATTTTATCTTCAAAGCACTTTATATAGGTCAATTTAATTCAACATCAAAGCGGCCTAACCTCACTTTTTTAGAATCTCATTTATTTATTAGCTAAAGATTACATTAAATGTACAATAATTATTATTGCTTTTAGAAGCAGTAATAGTTTGACAATACCTAGCAACATGATTTAAGTAGAAATGGATTATTGCTATTACATTGAATTCAATTAATTGTTTAATAAATAGGTAGGTATCTAGTTTTAATTTGTTTGGATTTTTATTTAAAAAATAGGTAGTTTAGAATGTTTAAGCTGTGTTTAACATTTAATGTCACTAAAAACGTAAAGCAAATTAAAACTTAAAGATAATTTAAATCGTAGAAACTTTTAGTTTTATTATTCATATTTAATTTTACAATAATTTAATGAAAAATATTAAACATTAACAACTTAGTGCTTATTATAAATAAATTTAACCAGTGAAGTACGTTAATTTCTTAAAAAAGGATTAATTTGTCAAAACAATACCCCTAGCGAGAAAAAATCGAACTAATTACTTGCCTCATAAAATTTTTTATCGGCCTAGGCCATAACAAGGTATTTCTTTATCGAATGTTGACAACAATAAAGTTTAAATTATAGACCGCGTGGAGATAAATGAATTTTATGTACCTATGTAACTTTAAGGCCACACTGCAAACACCAATCTTATACAATATTTAGGTGTTAGGATAAATACTAGATAGATTAGATTAAACTTCCAGCACTATTAGAAATAGCATTCACACTAAAAGTGAAATAAATGAAAATAAATTAGTGTCAAAGTGAACACTTTTAGAGAGCTACCGAACACGGTTAGTGTAGTAGTTTTCAAAGAAATATTGTATGAAGTCGCGCGAATTGTTACACTACAAGAGTACAACCTCTAGAGTTAAATCAACACTAAAATCCACACTAAATTTAAGGTGAAAATTTGAACTCTAATAAAGTGGACCTGCTTAAGCTATAACTAGTGAAGCTTTTTTTTACTGTGTACCCAACGGAATGTGAATAGTTGGTCAAATGGTTAATATACAGACCTTATATATAATATAAATATATTGTGGCTTTATACAAATAAAGTAATTTGTTTTAAGAAACTTCTTCTAAAGTTATAAAAATAAGTATATTTAAAAATTTAGTTTTTCCTCTGTGTAACAACAAGTAACTGACTAATGAAAATTCAGTAATAATAAAGAATATAATATAAAACGTTTTAAAGATTAATTTAATGATTGTAACTTTGCACATTTCATCCTGAAACTACTGCGCATAGATACAATCATCCGGTACCTTCTAGGCATAGATTACATGAACTACTGCGCAAAACTATAATCATCTGGGAACTACTGCGCATACATACAAACATCTTATATCTATTGCGCATAGACACATATCAATTAAACTACATAAATACGTGGTAGTTACCAGATGATTGGGCTTATGCGTATTGGTTCCGCCTTTACCAATCTTTTTTAAATTTTGGATAAAAATACTATTTTTATCCAAAATTTTATAATGATTGGTAAAGGCGTTTTAGAGTTAGAATTTTTTTATTTATTATGTGTTAATTTTGACGGGCAGTGTATGCGCAGTAGTTGCTGGATGTTTTAATCTATGCGCAGTATTAATTTTAAGAAAAAAAGTTATTCTTCATAAAAAGTTCTGCATGTTCTAAAATCTAAAATACAATCATCAAATATAAAAAAAATTAGTCGTATACGCGGTATGTCAAATAATATTAATATCTACTACTTAAGAGTAAATTACCTTTATATTTGACAATATCGAACATTCTTTACATGGAAAAAATCATTTTTTTCTATTTTTGTTTAAATAACAATGCAAATGTAACTGGAACGAAATAATTAATATGAATTAAGTCAGTGATTTAATTCGCGAATTAATTCAAATGACTTTTTTTCACAAATTAATTCAATTTTTATACAATAGGAACAAATTATATTATCAACTTTAATATGTATATATATATATACAGGGTGTTATATAATTAATGTAATATATTAAAATGGGTAGTTCCTTAGGGTCCATAAAGAAGCACCTGAAACTTTTTTTCCAAATTTCAAAGACTAAAAATAATTTGTAATAACCTTTATCCTACCAAAAACTACGCCGAAACGTTAGGCTAATCTGGTTGCCTAATTTAATTTATTATGTTATGGTGGTAACAACCAGCGTTTCCAGATTCTGTAAAAAAAGTTGCCAAATTTTGTTTAAATTTAGCTTAATTAGAAAAATGATAAAATCAACATTTCAAATTGTTAATTTGACGTTTTTATTAATTGTTTATTATGTCATTTTTGTAATGAAGGTAAATTCAAACAAAATCTAGGAACTTTTATGACAGAATCTAGTGCATTTCTTTCAAATTTTAGGTTATGTGCTCAAATTGTAAATATGTTTAAAAGAAGTTTTAGTTATAACATTGCTAAATGGTACAACTTGATACCTACACAATTAAAAAAATTTAAGGGGAAACAATTTAAATCTGGATTAAAACTTATAATTAATGGTTTAATTAATATTTAAGTTGAAGGGGAATTAAAATGAATTAATTTTATGTGTTATTTTTTTTTATTAAAGCTGTTTTATTAGATTTTTATTGGTTTTAGGCCAAAATTAAATTAGGTTAGGTTAGCTTAGGTTTAGGTATAGGAAGGGTTAAGTGGAAGAGCAGCAAATACATGCTTTGTATAAGCTGAACTTCGCCCATTGATTGTATCTCTTATAATCAATAAAGACATTTATTATTATTATTATCTTAACTAAGGGAAGTGCTTTTGGATTTATTTACACAAATTGAATGTTTAAAGTTTAACCTGTGAACTTGTCTTAATTTTTTTTGAGTAAACAGAAAGAAAAAAAACGAAAAAAAATTAATTTTGTGGTTATAGAGTTTTTAAAATATGTACTAAATTTTCTAATAATTGCTTAAGCTAATAGCTGGATGAGTAAATAAATACAGAAGGGTATTAAAGCTTTAAGGGCATAAAACTTTTGTATTTATTGTTTTTATTTATTTTTAGCAAGAAAAATTTTTAGTAACCATTTTTTACAACTGGCAACGCGCAGCTACTTTGTTGGTTGGTATCTATGTAGGTACTCACAGAACACAAGTGTGTAACCAGTAGCGTATCACAAAAATTATAAAAACTTCCAATGTATATTTTACTTTATCTTTGGGAAAATATGTTTTTAAATATTTTTTCGTTACACCTTATGTCAAAGGTTATTTTGTTTATATTACATTAATTAAATATATTTACTATGCTCCACACCTCAAAGTCCCACCACGTGACTACGTAAGGAACGCAGTCTTTTGAAAATTTGGTATTTAAGGCTTTTCAGGTTATGTATCTGTCAAAGTATAGTCAACGAAAGATGTTAAGGCGTTAAAAATGTATAAATCTTTATAACATTACAATAACAATGGTTGGTTTAAGAATTTAGGAATATAAATACTGCATTTAATGAAATTCTAAATTGTATGGAGTCAAATAAGTAATATTTTTGTGCATTTGGTCCAAATATCTAGTTTTCTCCATAAAATAATTTTAACTAAACAGCATTTATTAAAAAAAAATCTAGCTTCTCTATTACTGAATAAGTAAATCTGTATTAAAGGTAGGTTAATATATTATAACAAAAATATCATCTAATTTTGTAATTTTAAGGTAATAAAAATTGATTTTGACTAAAATAAATAAGTATTTTGGATTATTTGAAAGACTGTTTAATATGGTATTTAAAAATGTAGTAGTTTTCCTAATCTAGCTTAAAGTGTAGCTACATAAAGTTTTGTCAATACACATAGTTATCAGGTTTCGACTGAATTTGATCTACATTGAAAAATCATTATAAATTTAAAAATTTTAATAAATCACATGTCATGGGGTATTAAATATT